TTGTTTTTTTTTTCCAACAGAACAAGTTCTTCCGATCATTCTCTCACTCTCTCTCTCACTCACTCACTCACTCATTCACTCACTCACTCACTCACTCACTCACTCACTCACTCACTCACTCACTCACTCTCACTTTCTCACTCACTCACTCACTCTCACTCACTCACTCACTCACTCATTCACTCACCCATTTATTCATTCATTATATTTATTTATAATTATTCATAAATATAGTCAAGGACGACTCGAAAGAGGACTCCTTGATCGGCTATATGAAAGTTACAGTACGATGCTACGATACTCTAAAGAGCTTACAAAATATCCAATATTAATAATAATTAATATTATCAATCAATAATGATTAATAATCTCATTAAATAATTAAAATAATAATATTAATAATTATTTATTATTATTATTAAATAATAATGAATATGGCTATGAGGGTGATGATGTAGACAGAATTGATGACAAATTGTTACTAGTATTAGTATTATTATTACTGTTATTATTATTATTAATATTATTGTCGTTGTGGTTGTTTTTAATATCATTCTTATCATTAGTCCTCTTTTTACTCGTCAACAACATTCTAAAATGCATTAATTAGTTTAGCAGTGATGGAAGTAGGTTTCAGATGTTTCTGCAGCCTTAGTGATCTAACCGTAATGGGTAAATTCTCCGTAGAAACATGCGCGAATGAATTTTACAACGGTCCTCTTATGCATGATGACTGCAATATGAAAAATGACTTTTCCTTGGAGGTAAACTCCTCAAATAACTTAACATTTGACGAAGCAGAATCTACATGCATCGTTATCAAGCCTTCCGACGAACCTCTCAATAACGAAACATTCAAAACAGATTCTTTTAGCGTCAGCTGGTTGACCGTCGCAGGTATAACAACAACCATTTTTTTCATCATGCTGATCGTTTTACTGATAACCAAAAAGTTGGGTATGATGGGGAGTTGAACCTCGGGTACGGTTCCGCATCCTATTCCGCCTCGGGAGGTTTCCATGATAGCGATGTCGGTAACAACTGATAAAACATCAACTGTGTCGATCGGTACAACGACTTCGGAGGATTTTCTGCCATGATCTATGGATATTTCCAAACATTCATACTACAATTACGTTTATCAAAATTGTTCTTATGTGATCTCTTGAAAATAATATCATTTCGATTAATATTGATCTTTAAATTGCCGCGCGTAGATAGAATACATTTGTCAATGCAGATTTGAAAGAATTTTATTTCGCAGTTACGTCATTTTTTTTAATAAACAACAAACATCAACATTTTCGGTTTGAAAGAATTTAAATGTTAAATTATAAAATTAATAAAAATATACTGTAAATGAAACTTCGTTGCAACTTTGTCCTTATTTTGTTGCAAACAAACTCAATTTTAACAAAAGCTTATGGCCAAAAATATGACTACATCGGCTGCTTTCAATGGGTTCGATCACCTTTATTCGAAATTCATGATGATGTCGAAGATTGTGCTGCCAATTGCAAGTTTACGAATCCATTTAATAACATGATCGGCTTGAAGAACGGCCGCGAATGTCACTGCGTAAGCGGGGTCAGTTCGGCAGTGGCTTCCTGGCGGTGCAACATGTTCTGTAAGAACTTCTCATGCGGTGGGATTGAGTTTTATTCAGTTTATAAAATTCAACCACGTCAGGAACACGACATATATTATTGCCATTTGCATCCGGAAAAGTCAGAGAACGCCATATATTCACGAAATTTTGACAATCTGGATAGCCTTGAAATGTGTGCACATTTCTGTTTGGAAATGAACATGACATTCTTTAGGAAGACAATATTTCATAATAAATGCGACTGTTTCCAGGAGGTCAATTATGGACTTTTTTCTCGCTCAGCCGATGAAAGCTTCCGCGTTAAATTATGCTCCAAAAATGAAGCAGAAATTTGTGAATATTATTTTGAATCTCTTAGAGATCTGCCGACTATATTTTCAACGCGTTTATTTTACGAATTCCAAAGAGGAGTATCAACGTTCTCTCACTGCAAAACCATAAACTATGAAATACAAGAAAGGTGTCCAGAAGGTTGTAGTGAAGGCTGGAATGGAGATTCGTGCAGAGAAAGAGATTGTACGAGGAACAATGGTGACTGTGGTGACGAGATGAAATGTATTGAGTCCACGGTCAATGGTAATAAGTACGTTGAATGCGTCTGCCCATTGGGCACCGTAAGAAACAAATGGTACTTGTGCGAGGTGTTTAGGAAGAACGTGGTTCAGCATAACGAATACATAGGTAAGCCTAGAGATGACCCCTCAGAAAATTTGACAAAAGCATCATATAACGGTTTTCTTGGGCAACGACCTTATACCAGATGTATTTGGATTGCTGTAGCTCTTCAAAGTTTATATTCCGTTGGATATTTAAGAGTTTACGGGAGATTATGCCATAATAACTACGTTTGCCGACAGCAAGATGGATTTGTTGCTAGGCTCAGTGAAAATACTCTCGTTGAGAATGAATTGAATGTGGAGAGTTTAAAAACATGCGGCTACGGACCTGAAAAAGCCAAACAAGCAGGAAATCCCATGACTATTATTTGTGAAGACTTTGCACTCCGTTCAAGATATGTCATTTTGCACCCGTCGGCTGGAAAGTTTAGCTACGAGGGATTCTTTCTTTCATTGTTGGAAGTATATGAAGTTAGTTGCGGTGTCTTGAACGGAAGATGTGAACAAAGGTGCACTGAATCGAAAGATGGAGACGCACACGTTGTCAGCTGCAGTAGTTGGACTGATGAACAAGCTGTAACAAACTCAGTTTACGGATGTTACTTGAAAGTGTCAGGTGACCTTCACTTTGAGAAGGCTGGATTGTCGTACATGCAATGTAGAGATGCCTGTACTTTAATTTCAAAAAGTTTAACAGTGATGCAAGCAGGTTTCAAATGTTATTGCAGCAGTAATTTGAGCATAGCTGGTAACATCCCAGTGGAAGATTGCAAGAAAGGCCATTACAGATCCAACCTTATATTTGATGACTGTGACATGCAAGATGATTTTTGCAATAAAGTTATTGGAACTTTAAACCTCATTACAACAACTTCCAAAGCTACCAAACATGAAATTTATGATACAAATTCTAGTGAGACTTTAAAAACTTCCAAAGCTACCAAACATGACATTTATGATACAAATTCTACTGAGACTTTAGAAACCATCGTCATCATCAAGCCTTCCGACGAACCCACAAACATCATAACATTGCAAACGCAGCTTCACGATTCTTACAACATATATTTGGTCATCACGTCAGGTGTGACCACCATCGCCTTCCTCTTCATGCTAGCTCTTTTAGTTAGAGAACTGAAATTTAAACGTGTGATATCAAAAAGAACAAGCAAAACGTCAGGTAGAAGCTCAACGATTTCAAGCGACGGTGAAGTTAGATCATCAAGAAACAGTTTGAGCGTAAATAGTAGTGAAGCAATATAACTCTATGTATAGAAAAAAAGATGTCCAATCAAAACCCATCAACAAAACCAACTAATCAACCAGTTAATAACGTTTAGAAGTTTTGTAATATATGTTTCAATATTATTCTGTCTGTTCCGTTGGATATTTAAGAGTTTAAAGGGGGTTATGCCAAAATGAAGACGATTGCATTCATCAAAATAGATTTGTTGCTAGGCTCACTGAAAATATTTTCGTTAAGAGTAAATTTAATGTAGAGAGTTCTAAGACATGCAGCTACGGAAAGCCAAACAAGCAGGAAACCCCGTGAATATTATTTGTGAAGATTTTGCACTCCGTTCAAGATATGTCATTTTGCACCCGTCGGATGAAAAGTTTGGCTACGATGGATTCTTTCCTTCACTGTTGGAAGTATATGAAGTTAGTTGCGGTGTCTTGAACGGAAGATGTGAACAAAGGTGCACTGAATCGAAAGATGGAGACGCACACGTTGTCAGCTGCAGTAGTTGGACTGATGAACAAGCTGTAACAAACTCAGTTTACGGATGTTACTTGAAAGTGTCAGGTGACCTTCACTTCGAGAAGCCTGGATTGTCATACATGCAATGTAGAGATGCCTGCACTTTAATGTCAAAAAGTTAAGCAGTGATGCAAGCAGGTTTCAAATGTTATTGCAGCAGTAATTTGAGCATAGCTGGTAACATCCCAGTAGAAAATTGCATGAAAGGCCATTACAGATCCAACCTTATATTTGATGACTGCCTCATGCTTAACAATTTTTGTGAAGAAACTGAGAATACTTCGCACAGCACTAGATTAACTACCAAAATTAACCACACAGATACAAAGAAGACTTTGGAAACCATCGTCATCATCAACCCTTCCAACGAACAACCCACAGCCACATCTAGCGAAGAGACGGATGATTATGAATCCTACAAAGAAAAGTTGATCATTGCAGCCAGTGTGAGTACGGCCACCTTTCTGTTAATGTTAGCTGCAATACTTGGACACATCATGTTTACAAGGAGGGATCAAAAAAGAGTAAGCCAAACCTCGAATATGAGTTCTGTGAGTTCAGGTACGAGTGGAGCCAAATCACCAGATGACATTTTGGAGAGTGTGAACAGGCAGTTAACAGAGCATGAATAAATTTTCCATTTTAATAGTATAATACTACATTATAGTTTTTAAAATTGCATATTTTTGAAATTAATTTGAAATGCTATTAATTTAAACTATGCAATTTTATCGGAAAAATTTTCAAGTTTAAGATTTTTAAATAAATATAAAAATGTACACTAAAAATGATATATATGTAAAATGTACAGTAAATATTATAAATTAAAAATCACAGGACAGTTTTATTCATGCTTCGGAGGATTTTCTGCCATGATCTATGGATATTTCCAAACATTCATACTACAATTACGTTTATCAAAATTGTTCTTATGTGATCTCTTGAAAATAATATCATTTCGATTAATATTGATCTTTAAATTGCCGCGCGTAGATAGAACACATTTGTAAATGCAGATTTGAAAGAATTTTATTTCGCAGTTACGTCATTTTTTTTTAATAAACATCACACATCAACATTTTCGGTTTGAAAGAATTTAAATGTTAAATTATAAAATTAATAAAAATATACTGAAAATGAAACTTCGTTGCAACTTTGTCCTTATTTTGTTGCAAACAAACTCAATTTTAACAAAAGCTTATGGCCAAAAATATGACTACATCGGCTGCTTTCAATGGGTTCGATCACCTTTATTCGAAATTCATGATGATGTCGAAGATTGTGCTGCCAATTGCAAGTTTACGAATCCATTTAATAACATGATCGGCTTGAAGAACGGCCGCGAATGTCACTGCGTAAGCGGGGTCAGTTCGGCAGTGGCTTCCTGGCGGTGCAACATGTTCTGTAAGAACTTCTCATGCGGTGGGGTTGAGTTTTATTCAGTTTATAAAATTCAACCACGTCAGGAACACGACATATATTATTGCCATGTGCATCCGGAAAATTCAGAGAACGCCATATATTCACGAAATTTTGACAATCTGGATAGCCTTGAAATGTGTGCACATTTCTGTTTGGAAATGAACATGACATTCTTTAGGAAGACAATATTTTATAATAAATGCAACTGTTTCCAGGAGGTCAAATATGCACTTTATTTTCGCTCAGCCGATGAAAGCTTCCACGCTGTATTATGCTCCAAAAATGAAGCAGAAATTTGTGAATATTATTTTGAATCTCTTAGAAATCTGCCGACTATATTTTCAACGCGTTTATTTTACGAATTCCAGAGAGGAGTATCAACGTTCTCTCACTGCAAAACCATAAACTATGAAATACAAGAAAGGTGTCCAGAAGGTTGTAGTGAAGGCTGGAAGGGAGATTCGTGCAGAGAAAGAGATTGTACGAGGAACAATGGTGACTGTGGTGACGAGATGAAATGTATTGAGTCCACGGTCAATGGTAATAAGTACGTTGAATGCGTCTGCCCATTGGGCACTGTAAGAAACAAGTGGTACTTGTGCGAGGTGTTTAGGAAGAACGTGGTTCAGCATAACAAATACATAGGTAAGCCTAGAGATGGCCCCGCAGAAAATTTGACAAAAGCATCATATAACGGTTTTCTTGGGCAACGACCTTATACCAGATGTATTTGGATTGCTGTAGCTCTTCAAAGTTTATATTCCGTTGGATATTTAAGAGTTTACGGGAGATTATGCCATAATAACTACGTTTGCAGACCGCAAGATGGATTTGTTGCTAGACTCAGTGAAAATACTCTCGTTGAGAATGAATTGAATGTGGAGAGTTTAAAAACATGCGGCTACGGACCTGAAAAAGCCAAACAAGCAGGAAACCCTATGACTATTATTTGTGAAGATTTTGCACTCCGTTCAAGATATGTCATTTTGCACCCGTCGGATGAAAAGTTTGGTTACGATGGATTCTTTCTTTCACTGTTGGAAGTATATGAAGTTAGTTGCGGTGTCTTGAACGGAAGATGTGAACAAAGGTGCACTGAATCGAAAGATGGAGACGCACACGTTGTCAGCTGCAGTAGTTGGACTGATGAACAAGCTGTAACAAACTCAGTTTACGGATGTTACTTGAAAGTGTCAGGTGACCTTCACTTCGAGAAGGCTGGATTGTCGTACATGCAATGTAGAGATGCCTGCACTTTAATGTCAAAAAGTTTAGCAGTGATGCAAGCAGGTTTCAAATGTTATTGCAGCAGTAATTTGAGCATAGCTGGTAACATCCCAGTGGAAGATTGCAAGAAAGGCCATTACAGATCCAACCTTATATTTGATGACTGCCTCATGCTTAACAATTTTTGTGAAGAAATTGAGAATTCTTCGCACAGCACTAGATTAACTACCAAAATTAACCACACAGATACAACGGAGACTTTGGGAACCATCGTCATCATCAACCCTTCCAACGAACAACCCACAGCCACATCTAGCGAAGAGACGGATGATTATGAATTCTACAAAGAAAAGTTGATCATTGCAGCCAGTGTGAGTACGGCCACCTTTCTGTTAATGTTAGCTGCAATACTTGGACACATCATGTTTACAAGGAGGAATCAAAAAAGTGTAAGCCAAACCTCGGATATGAGTTCTGTGAGTTCAGGTACGAGTGGAGCCAAATCACCAGATGACATTTTGGAGAGTGTGAACAGGCAGTTAACAGAGCATGAATAAAATTGTCATGCAATTTTTAATTTATAATTTTTACTGTTCATTTTACATATACATCTTTTTTAGTGTACATTTTTATATTTCTTTGAAAATTTTAAACTTGAAATTTTTTCCGAAAAAATTGCCTAGTTTCAATTAATAGCCTTTCAAATTAATTTCAAAAAAAGCAATTTTAAAAACTATAATGTTGTAATATTATATTATTGTTATATATATATATATATATATATGTGTGTGTGGGTATGTGTGTGTGTGTGTGTTTATTATGGTGTGTGTGTGTTTATTATGTACATTATAATTCTCAAAATATTTACAACTTGCCAGTAAGTTTCTCTTCTTGTCTTCGATAAGGAAGACGCGAAGGAAGTTAGTTACATGGCAGTTAGTGCGGTTCTAGAAGATACTTACTCTCTTTATAAAAGAATTACATAAAAAAAAACACCTGGCCTTTAGATGCACAGGAAAGAGAGAAGCCGATACATTCACATCCTGTCGGAAATCTTGATCTATGCGCACATTTCTGCTTAAAAATGAATGAACATGACATTTTTTAGCAGTGTAAATGAATGGAAAATTTGAGACTGCTTTCAAACTATCAATTATGGGAGGTTCTACTGGTATTATCCTAGGTGCTAACGTTTTGCAAGACATGAAGACATTTGCGGATGCTTTTTCGAAGGTTATCAATGCGATGTTATATTTTCTACGCGACTAGATTACGAATTCCAGAGGCTCCTGCTATAAAGACTGTTATACAACTTTTAAAAATTACAAAAAAAATAGAAAAAAAATCATTACGCTTTGTTACAATTGAAACATTTATTAGCCTAATTGCTGATGAATAATTTTTAATACACATAAATATTTCAATGGTTCCAAAAATTAACATCAAAAAGTTAATGATAATTTTTTGGCATATGCTAACCTTATTCATTGTATATAAATGGTAGTTTTGTATTGATCTTGCACAATATCGAGAACAAATAGTCATCTTTAGGAATAATCATTTTTCAAAATAGTTTCTTATAATTTAGAAAACACCAAAAAAAAATAGTTACATTTTTTTAATCAATAATTTATAGTTGTGCATGTTGTTCTGTATGGTTTTTGCATTTACTTTTCATGGTCTGTACCTTTTGCAGCATGACCAGCAGCAGCAGCAGAAATATGTACATGTTTTATACATAAACATCTACATAAAGATGCGTTCACTGGTATGTTCATCATCATAATCGTTATCACGTTCTTTCGGATGTACGATCGTTATCATCAACACCATCACATCATCATCATTACCTTTCACTCTCTCTCTCTCTCTCTCTCTCCTCTCTCTCTCTCTCTCTCTCTCTCTCTCTCTCTCTCTCTCTCTCTCTCTCTCTCTTACTATAATTTCAAACTTAACAGACAGACAACAACAACAAATTAATAAATATGCGTTTATTCTCTCTAGAAATTCATCTTCCATTTTGGCGCTTCGAACAATACCGGATATACGATTAATCTATCGCTACTTCGATATATAGACACATATAAATATGGTTGTATTTGTATAAGTAGACCTATATACGCATATATAGGTATCTGTTTTTGTATTTGGAAGAAGTAAGCTTTGTTGTGGGTAGTGAAGAAGACGTTGTATGTATGTTTTGTTGTTTTGTGTATGCTTTTTAACGGAGATAGTGCATTCATCTTGTGGTAGTTATGTAAACATTTCGAATTTTCGGATTTAATTTATAAATTTGTTATTTGATAATTTGAAAAGTCGTTTTGTTTTGTTTTGGATTTCTATTCAGATACGTTTTGTTGTTTGTTTAAATAGTTGGTCTTAATTTTCAAGGATATTTTTTTGAATTTTACTTTCAATTCGGATAAACGTGTATCATAAGCAGTAAACTATATTACGGATACATTTTTCTCCAATAACACCCTTCTTACAACATCTCGATTTAAACTAACTTTTGAAACAAAAAACTACAAAACATGGCACCACAAAATCCTCCGAAAAAAGTTTGTCTTCGTTTCGAACCGCAAGCATGGAGGAAAGTTTTATGTAAGAATTGTTTCAAAACTCAGCTAGAGCATACTGCCATTGACAGCTCAGGCGACTCTTCAAGCAGCACCAACACACCAGATCCTAATCAGAAAGACATCATCCGAAAATGCTTAGGAACCGCACCATTGAAGGATTCATACAAATTAAGGCACAGTGCCAGTTTGGAGAACGTCTCAATTGCGGAATCGAACCCGGCCTCTGCGAGTTCAGATAAAAATACTTCATACATTTCGAGACGATCTATGTCACCGAGTTTCGGTGACTCAGGTGCAGTAGGGTCCAATTTTCGACCCTTAACCCCCTCAATTATTGTGAGGGATAAGCCGACCCAAAAGGAAAAAGTTAGCGAAAGCATTTTGACAATCGATAAAAATTTAATTGAAAAAAATAAATTGCTGGAAGAGGAAAATGTGAGCAAGAAGAAAGATGGAAGTCTAACAAAGGACACAAAAATTGAAATCGGAAAGACTAGAGATAAAAGTTCTCCATCGACGAAAGATTTCAGATCAAACGAGTGTGCCGTGGGTAGAAACATCAACGACAGCCAACAGTCGCAGGCGAAAACAGCTGACACTACATCACAAAATACTGCAAAAATTAATTCCAGCGAAATTGCGAAAAAATTACAAGATAACAAAAACACTAACAGTAACATTAACTCTAAAAATAGCAATAACAACAACAACAACAACAACATACATAAAAATAATAATAATAACAACAACAGCACAAATAATAATAACATCAATGTAGATATTGCACACAGAAACATAACGCCTACCGCCCCAAACAACAACAACACAACAAACAGCTCCCTAACTCATGTTGATATAAAAGGCAAAAATGATACTACAAAATCTAATAACACAAGCATTACTGCCATTAAGTCTAAAACGTTGAACAGCAAGGCAGCACCGGGCTTGCTTGATTCTCCGAATATAGAAGAAAGTAGTGAAGTTGCAAGGGTTGCACAAACAACAGCTCAAATAAACAAAGATAATAATCAAAATGTTCATGATGGCGTATTGGGTGATAATAATTTTTCAAGTTTTACACAGGGTCAAATTGAATACGGTCTAATTAGTGACAGCAGTAAGCACAATGTTATAAACATTTCGGATAGTTTTAATAGGAAAATTTACGACGATAAACAGGGAAATTTTAACAGCGTACTGCAACATCATAACGTGTTTCCTAATGAAGATGTAATAAACTCGGGACTAGACAACCCACCGACGCCAGCCCAGTTCAATTACGACGGGACCCAAGTTATTTTTGGCGACGATCAATTTTACGCTACCAACAGCCAGCTACCAGCGAACTTCAACGATATTCTACAAGGTAACCAACAATTCTTTCAAAATAATGTAAGTAACGTCCATAATTATTGCAATAATAATAATAATAATCTGAACAACGATAATAATTACTTGAATAACTACCAAAACGTCGGCTACATTGACAGTGGCCAGCAATACTACGTCAACGACGACAGCAAAAATAATTTTTTGCCAATTACCACCGACGACAACAACCTCAGCACTGACCTCGATGCTACAAACGCTGCTGACTTTCCACACCCAAACACTTTCTTCAGCGACGACGCGATGACGTCGTACGATTTTTTGAGGTCGGAAGCCATCATGGAGGGCAAGAGACTTCTTCTGGAAAGTCTACGCGAGAGAAACACTTCCTTAGAAGGTCAATGCCAACAGCTGGAGCGAGAAAAAACGGCTCTAGGTGAGCTGCTGACGAATAAGAAGCTGGATTACGAACGCATGAAGGAGCATTTTAACGCCTCTCTTGCCGACTTGGAATCGCAAGTTCAACGTCTTCATTCGGAGAAGGTGAGACTCCTAGATAAACTTCAATTGCCAGAAAGTGAAAGGTCCTCGTTAGCGGCTGAAGAAAACGAAATTGCGGATTTAAAGAAGAAACTGGAAGAATACGAATACAGATTTACAGATGTCATCACCGAGAATGAGGATTTGAGGCAGGAGGTCCGAGATTTGCAGTTGGAGATGGAGGAGCTGCATGATCAGTTCCGAGAGGAGGAAACCTTAGAATTCAGGGAACTGCAGAAGGAATTAGAAGCAGCAGCCAAAAATTGTAGAATTTTACAATTCAAGCTAAGAAAAGCAGAACGTCACAACGAGCAACTTGAAAACGATAGAGCCATCTACGAGGAAAAGTTACGGCATTTCGAAACCTGCATACAAAGTTCAGACGACAAACGTAAGAACAGGATGTTGGAAGATGAATTGAAATCAGCAAAAGACGCCAACCTCCGGTTGCACGAAGAAAACGCGCGGCTAGAAGAAAAGAGACGACGCGCCATCACCGATTACGACAAAATTAAAAAATCTCTCAACGATTCGGACAGTAAGAGATTGTGTCTACAAAATGAAGTCGACAACATGAAACACGAGGTCAGTTGGTGTGATGCTCTTTTGTTTGACTATCCTAGAATATCATTTTATATTTGTGAAAAAAATTTCGTTTGATATTGTTTTGTTAAAAATTCGTGAAAAGTTATACAAATTTTTATTTGAAATCAGATAAATAAGTTAAAAGAACAAATTAAGTTTGAAAATCGCCAAGAGATCACACCACTTCTGAAGGTTTTTAATTTATTTTACTTTTTTAGATCATTAAATTTTCAATCTTATTCAACAATTTCGAATTTTTACACAATTAAACTTCAAATTTATCACCAAAAAAAAATAATCCCCCGATAGACTTCATCTCGAAACAGCGTTGCAGCAGACAACACCATCATCAACCAGCTGACGAAAGACCTGAAGGACAGTCTAGAGCGAGAAACAGATCTCAAAGAGCAACTGAAATTTGCCGAGAAGGAAATCACAACAATGAGGAAGAAGTTAACAGAGATGGAAGGCGACAACGAGAGCATGAGCTTACAAATACGAAAACTAACATCTACAAAATCATCGAAATTCACCTCAAAGATCAAACCAGAACTCTCAAGTAACGACTTCGATCCAGAAGCCCAGAGCGAAAAAGAAAAAGAACTAGTCCTGCAGCTAGAAGTCACAGAGCAAGAAATCTTCACGCTGAAGCGAAAGGTCGACGAACTACAGCAAGATAACGACAACCTACTGTGTGCAATTAAATATTTAAGAACGAAACTGGAGCAGAAAGAAGGCACTAGGTGTGCGACGCCGTTCGGAGAAAACAAATCGACGAGGGAGATCCTATCTAGAATCGGCTCTATGGGCAGCTCTTCTGAAGTTGAAGTCGAGTTGAAAAAACAGTTGGATTCCAATAGGAAGGAGTTGCACGAGCTGAAAGAGAAACATATTCTGTTGCTCAATGAGAGTGATAGCATCGTACAAAGTTAGAATTATTTCGCTAATTCATTTTATATTTCACGTTACAGTTTCATTGAAATTAAATTTTTTGAGTTAGAGTCTATTGATGTTTGATAGTTTGATGAATTTTTCGTTTTGCTTCAAATAAAAAGATGGAAAATTATTGGCCAATAAGTTGAGCGCTTCGGAAGAGGAATGCAAAAGATCGAAATCTGAAGTTGAAAAATTGCAACTTGAGGTATGTTACTCATCCATTAATTCACTCATTCATTAATTCATTCACCTATTCATTTATTACTCATTTATCCATTCATTCATTTATCCTTATTTATTGAAAAACATTTCTTTAAGATAAAGCGAAATGAGGAAAAAATAAAACAACTAACCAAATCATCTGAAAAATTAGAAAAAATTAATAAGGTAACTTTCAAAATCTCACAATCTTTCAATCTATTTTATTTCATTCAAAATTATTACTAACTTAATTTAAAATGGAAAAAAATTTATTTAAAAATGAAATGTAAAATTTAATTCAAAGGAATATTCGACGATAAAAGTTGACAAAGGCGTTCTAGAGGAAGAATTCAAAAAAGTTTCCAAACAGTTTGACGACGCTAGCAAAAAAATTTCTGAATTTGAAAAACAAAAAACGGTAACTCTCTAAATCATCTTTAATTTTGGTCAATTTACTTTATTTCTATTTTTTTAAACATTAATTTGTAAATGAAACCATTTTTTAATTATTTTAGACTGAAACTGAATTAAAGAAAAAATTCGAGAAAAGCGAAGAGAAGTTACGGCATCAAGTAGAGCAGGTATGCTATTGAAGAATATTGAAATTAATACAACCTCTAAACGCTAACATAAATAATACCTCTACATTAATTAACTGTTTTAACTTCAATAAAGCAAATATTTTAAAAAATTAATTTAAAATTTTTGCAGTTAGAGGAACAATTGAAGCAAAATAAAGTTGATTGGTCGAAAGAGAAGCAGAAGATAGAGAACGATGCAAATGTCGGCTGCGACATTGCCACTAAAATAAACAGGGAGCTGTCGGGCCTGAACGAATCTCTCATGAAGGAGAAGGACCAGTTAATTTCTGAAAAAGATAAACTTCTGAGAGAGAAGAATGAAGTTTTGAAGAATTTTGAAAACCTCACAGAAGAAAAATCAAAAATTGTGAAAGAGAAAGATCAACTAGTGAAGGAAAAAACGACATTGACGTCAAAGATTGAGCAATTTAACAAGGAGAAAGACAGCAAGTCTGAAAAACACACTGAACTGGAGAAACGAGAGAAGCAACTCCTAGAAAAAATCTCAAAACTAGAATCAACCATCGAAGATAATAAAAAACAACTGAAAGAAAACATATCGAAAGAGGAAAGTTATTCATCAAAAAGAGAGAAAGAACTAACAGACGAAATCAGCCAGCTAAAAACCACCCTCGAAGATTACAAATCCAAACTAAAAACCTCCAAAGATGATGATACTTTCGTCAAACGAGAGAAAAAATTGCAAACAGAAAAAGAAAATCTCGAAGCTCAACTCGAAGAAATAGATTCGAAAGTAAAGGAACTCGAAAAAAAGAATGAGTCGTTAGAGAAAAAACGGAAAAAGGATGTAGCAAGGAGGGAGAAAGATGAACTGGAGAAGACAGAACTCCAAGAAGAGATTCAGACGCTGAAGGAAAAATATGAGAAGAAATTACAAAAAGAAAATGAGAAGCGAAGGCGGTCTGAAGCTTTCGTTGAGCAGAGTAAAGGTGAATCAAAATAAATTATTTTTATTATTTCGGTTTTTATATTCATAAAGAAAATTGTTCTTCACGTAAATTATTTACCGTTAGGCTCCTTACATATTTCTGAACCGCTAACTAACGAAACTAAAATATTAATGAAAAAATTTCTAACATAACTCTATCATCTCAAAATTTTGTAACACAAAATGTTTCTTTCAAGGTAATGAACTAGGCATGCTATCAAAACTGCAAAAAGATATTGAAGATAAGGATAAAATGATCGAGAAATTGAACAAGAAGCTTCGAAAATCTGAAGAGGCCCTAGCAAAACTAGAAGATAAACTGGTAAATTTTTAAATATGTTAATCAAAATTTTGTGGCCTATATCAAAACAAATTATTTTTTTCAAAACTCTACCAACTGACACTAAAATAAAAAATATTTTTTCTATCCTCTCGGCAGAATGTAACAAAATCATCCGCCATTCCAACAAACGACTCAAACAATAACTATGACGTCACGAACAACAGCAATAATAACAATAAGGATCTCAACAACAGCAAAGATTTACAAGCGCAGATTAAAATACTCCAAAAAGAGAAAGAAGAACTTATAAAGAACAAAGAGAATGTTTCACAATTGAAAGTTGCCATCGAGAGTGAAAAAATTATTTGGGATAAGGAGAGGACTGCCAATGAAGAGCTTAACACCAAGGTAAGAACAAATTGATTTATAAACCCAATTCATAATTTGGAAATTGTTTCAAAGCTAAGTAACGTTTGATTCAAATTTTGTATTCTTAAAATCACAGCATATCAATATGTATATATAATAGAAGTACGTGATATTCAGGAAGAGACTTGCATTCGAACCAGCGCACTGCGGCAACAAGACCCATCACTTTAACCACTATGACATTCTACCATTCACTAAAAAAAACTAGTCCAGACCAAATAACCATCTATTAAATTTTAATTTATCTTTAATCTCCTCTATTTTATGTCTTTTTTTAAATTCCAGATAGCCGAAAAACAGAAACTAATAACAAAACTGGAGAAAGAGAGAGATGATTACAAGGAAAGATGGCGCTCTGAGGTTATCGCGAAGCAGAAATTGGAAACGAGGTTAAAACAAAGTGGTGAACCAGCCAACACCGACGCAGTTTCAGATTCTAAGAAGGTTTATAAAAAGTTTTTTGCAAATTAATTTGAATGAATAAGTTGATAAAATGAATAATTAAAATTTTTACTTTATTAAAATTTTGTTCGGTCTCAACTTGTGAAATACCTTATAAAATACTTTAGGCAAGTATTCTGAATTTACAACTCATTGGTACAATGGGTTATTAATTCAATATTTATCTTATTGAATAAAAATTTTCTGTGAATATATATGTATTCTATATATTAAATGTATTCTTTATATTAAATTTGTACTTTCAAACCTAAACGACTTAGCTTTAATATTCTAAAATCTCAATTCAACCCCCACGCCGTACAGCCTTCCGAAGATAAGAAGGTTAACGATTTTCGAAATCGGTTCGAAAAATTTGGAGGTATGCCGCGAAAATCATCAACCATTCCAACGACCACAACAGCCACAACAGCCACGGCCGCCGCCGCCACCTCATCGTCAGACAGCACGAAATCCACTTCCACTACGACCGCTTCGTCATCGCCGTTGAATGATGAAATCAAAAACCTGCAGAAGCAACTGAGCGAATCTGAAGCCATCCGACTATCCGAGAAAGAGGAGCTAGTTGAGAAAATGGAAAAGGAGAGGAAGGAAAAGGAAAAAAGAATTAAATCGCTGACGGAAGAGAATAAAAACGTTGGTTTAGTTGGAAAATAGGTTTTTTAAATCTTCATTAGGTGAATTTGCCCTTTTTTTAATTTTTGGGGTATTATTAAGCTATAAAACTTACACGCCACACGACACACCACATTTGCACACACACACACACGCACAATCACACACACACATACACACACTTACATACACACACACATACATACATACATACGTACATGCACACATACATGAACTTATATAATTCTTTTTCATGTAAACCAGTTGAAAGACAAAATTTCAGAACGCTTCGCAATATTCACGGAGGCCATAGACAAACAACTCAAAACCGAAAGCGAAACTACGGACGGAAAATCCAAAACCCCTGTAACAGACAATTTTCAACTTTCGAAACTTTCAATTAATACTTGCTTTGAAATATAAATTAATTATGGTCATAATTGAT